GTGGTGTAAACTGAACCTTGTAAACTCTGAAGGTGCCCTCCTCATCCCCCATAGCAGCAGCAACAGAATGACACTATCGTGAGATTTACCTTAATTAGCACAGCAATTTGCCTCACGTTTTCAAAAAGTGCTAATAGATGTTAACTCAAGATAGATTAAAATACCAGGCAAATTGCTACTACCTTAAAAAGAGTTGTAATAATTTTGAAAATGTAAAGTGTGGTTATGCAGTCTTTGGAGAGCACTGTAAAATCCAATATTTCCTACATTTAAAGAAAAACCCTGCAATACATGTTTTTCCCCCCTTTAATCACAGTAATTTCTTCAAACGATGCCGCTGCGTGTTCCTTCAGGAGGATACACAGTGCTTTTCGAGTTGCACGTGTGATGTAGGAGCTGCCGTTGACAGCTTCAGCAAGAGGCAGAGCAATTGCATACCAAAACCCAGGGATCGGGGGGAAGTTTTTAAAAGTTTATCTTTTTGTTCTTTTTTTTATGTTACGTACATTTTATGAGTTGGAACAGAGAACAGTTCTTTTCATTCTAGCAAATGGAGCTGTGCATGACAAAATGTCTGCAAACTCTGTACGTAGGCGTAAGGATTCCAAATGACGTGGACCCTCCCGATGGCTTCCACTGTCTGTGCACAGAGGTGAACATAATCTGTACTTCTGAGTAAATGAAAATAACTATTGTATGAAACTTGTCACACTGTAAGTAAAAGATGAAACTTTCCCTGGTGGGACCATATGTATTTCCCTGAATAACTTCTACCCAACAAAGCTCTAAAATGGAATATTTGCATTTCCCCCACTGCTTTGTTTTCTAGAATTTACAGAGCGCAGTTAGCAAAAAGATTACTTAAAAGACACATTTATCCACAGAGGAACTCCGGGACCGTTTTTCATGCAGCAGTACAAAGCCAAAGCACGGTCTCCTCTTGCCCATAACCTGTGAAAGCCAGAGAATTAACAGTCTCAACTCTAAGTGTATCTTCCTTTCTTCAAGGGAAATGGGTAAATTGAATTTTGCTAAACAAAAGGATATATAAAACACATTGAGAGAACTGACAAAATAGGTTAACCCTACCATGAAAGTCTCCTAAAGTGAACAATTATTCTTTAATTTATGTACTTCTGAAATCCATATCTTCATGTATCAAGCTTGCTTAGGGTGACCTGTATCTCTCCCTGCCAAGCAGTTATCACATATAGATATTTTCTATTTTTAAAAATTGGACCTCCAAGACAAATTGCCTGTCAACCCTGGTATAAAACTTGTTATAGGCCCTTGTATAGTTTAGAAAAGATGAATCATAGGAGACAGTCCCATCTTTACGGTGGGTTTAAGCATTTTCTCTTCTCCGTCCTTTTTTCATCTTTTTTGCAGTTAGTGGTCCCTTGAATGCTAAGTGGCTTGGTGCATGTTTATTTTGCAATGTGATACAGATTTTCTGAGCATTCTTTCTGACCAAGTGACGTCAGCTCTCCCTTAGTGAGACCTGCTCCCTTCCATTTGTTTACGGCAGGAAGGGGGAAGGTAACCTAACTGTAGCCTGGGGAACATCAGGTAAAGAAAAGGGAGGATTTCCAGAGACTGTGTTATTGAGGAAAGTTCTGGAATCTCCTCCAGCGAGCCTCAAGATAAAATAGATTCTTCTTGTACATGAAATATATTTTAAAGGTTACTTCTTGCCCTGTGGTTATTTTATTTTTAAATTATAACTAATGCTACAAAGATTTATTTCTGAAACGTCTCAGAAGTGGCTGAGTATCGAGCATTACCGTAGAGAACCGGTTGTCCTAACAGGACGTTAATGGACTCATGGCTCAATAACCGTGCCTGCTGCAGTAAGGGCTACCCTTTGGGGGCCTTTGTCAAGTCACTCACAGTGTTGGGATGTTACTGCAGTTAATCCTTTATAAGAACCTATGATATAACTACTTTTATCCTGTTCATACAGTTGAGGGAATCAAATCTTAAAGAAGTGAAGTGAAATCAGGATGCAAACCCGTTTCCGGTTGACTGTCAAGTCCACGGTGTGAACAGTCTCCCGGTTTCTTCTCTACCTGTGCACAGCTCCGCAGGCTCAATGAAGACTGAGATTTTGTTCAGGTGGAGGAGACTGGCAAGCTAGGGGATGATGCCAATGCAATTAGAGAGTGCTTACATAAAAGACAAAGCTCGCAGGGTGCCCGCCTTGGGTGCATAGAGAAGGGGCACCTAACCCAACCCTGTGGGCAGATAGACAGGCTCGCCTCGGGAGGGCTCCTGAAGGAGGGACTTCTCGAGCTGAATATGAGTTCCTCGGGAAATTGTTAGTCTTTGCGATTATTAGTACATTGGTGTCTAACTTTGCCTTGCTCTTGGGTTTCTATTTTTCATTTGTAGTTTGTTACTGTTTTATCATTCATTCACCAATAACTACGCCTGGCTTATAGGTACAAAAATGATATGGCTTTTGTGGATCTTACATTGGAGCAGGAGAAATAGACATTAAACAAAGCAGTTCTAAACTAACTTTATAATATAAGTGCTATACAGGAAAAATAGGCAATATTGGAAGAGTGAGGAGCCTGGAAACCTTATCTCATTGGGGAGAGGGGCAGGTGCAGGACAGTGATCAGGATTACCTGGGGAAGTGACACTGAAGCTAAGAACTCATTAAGAATGAGTAGGGTGAAAAAGGTCAAGGGGGATATAGTCGATAATATTGTGATAACTTTGCATGGTAACAGGTGGTTACTAGACTTGTGATCACATCATCAAGTATGTAAATGTCGAGTCACTGTGTTACATGCCTGAGACTAATATTGTATGCCAAAACAGTTTATAAAATTAAAAAAAAAAAAAATGAGTAGGAGATAGGCACAAGAAGGTGGTTTTAAGGGGGGAGTGTATTAAAAAGTATTCCAGGTAAAGAGAACATGTGCAGAGTCCCTGAGCTAGACAGAATTGACAGTTCGAAATTAGGTCAGGTAATGGAAAGTATAAAAAACATGGTAGAACAAATCATCAAACAACAAGTGCTGGCGAGGTGTGGAGAAAAGGGGACTCTAGTACACTGCTGGTGGGAATGCAGACTGGTGCAGCCACTATGGAAAACAGTATGGTGTTTCCTCAAAAAATTAAAAATGGAACTATGATTTGACCCAGTGATTCCACTTCTAGGAATATATCCTAAGAAGCCTGAAACACCAATCAGAAAGAATATATGTACCCCCATGTTCATAGCAGCACTATTTACAATAGCTAAGATCTGAAAACAGCCCAGTGTCCATCAGTAGATGAATGGATAAAAAGCTGTGGTACATATACACAATGGAGTACTATGCAGCTGTAAGAAAGAAAGGTCTCTTATCCTTTGAGACAACATGGAGGGACCTGGAGAGTATTATTCTAAGCAAAACAAGCCAGTCAGAGAAAAACAAATACCACATAATCTTACTTATTTGTGGAATATAATGAGCAAAATAAGCTGATGAACAAAACAGACCCAGAGACATATAAAGGAGTAGGGCTCAGACTGACAAACCTCAGAGGAGGGGGTTGGGGGGAGGAGGGGAAGAGATAGGGCTAGATGATGCATGATCTTCTGAATGTACTGTTATAAGCTGCCTCAACTCAGGCAAGACTTAGAACATAAATTTAAATTTAAAAAATTATATTGCTTCAAAATTTTCTTAAAACCATCAGTTCATATTCTCAACTCTCATTTGTATATCAGTTCTTTTTTATTCAAAATTATTTTTTCTTATTTTTGAAAATGAAACATACATATCTGTGTCACAAAAAGTATAAATTGTGTGTCGTATTTGAATTTAGAATAAAAGTTGATTTACATACAAGCAGGCTTTGAATAGAGGGATATTCTAACAAAGATTAGGTGCCATCAATGCAATGCTGAAACATCAACTCTCAAATTTAAAAAACTAGATGACATATCGCAGTTTTCCAGATCACCCAGGAAACACCATATTATTTCAGAATAGTGCAGACAACTGAATGTCACAGTCATCATACGTCTAAGGCAAACAGCAAGGATTTCACGTTGTTTTCCGTCTTTCCTGGTAGTCCTGATCTCTTCCAGCAATGGACAGACATGCAGAGGGAGCCCAGACATGTGTATCACAAGCCCCTTCTTTCAGACCAGCTTACTTAGTATAAATGAAATATTGATGTATTTAAAAATGCCCAAGTGTTCAATAAAGATTTTAAATAAAGCTACCTAAAAGTTGTGGTTCTTAGGTTAATCATTTATTTATCTAAAGGATGAAGGAAGCTGTCTACTCCTGTGATATGAACTGCAATCAGCTTAAAAATAATTGACAAATTAATCCCTTCACAGCACAGCAATTGTAAAGGTGTTAGTTTTAATTAGGCCTGTCTGATTGCCTTGTCTAATCAAGAATCAAGGTGGTGCCTTTGATGGTTAAGGTCTAGTGGGGCCATCCCTGACCTGCAAGCCATGTATGTTTTAATTATTGATTCCTCGAATTTCAGCCCTTTTCACAAAGGGGCCTGAAGTTTGCAATACTTTAACATTTAAAGGGAAGAAAAATAAACATTTCCTCCAACACTTCTATCTAGAATCTAGTGTATCCTCTCCACCAATCCACGATTTTGTCCTGAAAAGCCTGTCGGGTTGATGACAAAGTCAAATGCACATTCGAACGCCCTCTCCCTGCAGCCTCACCTCCCAAGCACTAGGTTTTCAACGGACGCCGTTAGGATCTCGGCAAGTCACAGTGATTTATGCGTCTAGAAAACACATTTTGATTTATTGATATCATATGTCTTTTAAAAAGTCTGTAAGGGCGAATGTAGTATTTAGCAAACCAGGGCGGTCAGACAGAAAGCGACGTGTGTCCCCTCACTAGGCACGTCGCACACCGCTTACAGGGCGCGCGGGAGGGTTCCTCGCGGTGAGGGCGCCCTGAGCAGGGAGCTGCAGGCGTCAGTGGTCCACGTGCATGACAGTGACTCTTCTCTGCTTCCAGGTCAATGAGGTGACGGTGGAGCAGCTGGTGCAGCAGTACCCCCACATCACCTTCAGCACCGTCCTCCAGGACTGCAAGAGGACCCTGGAGAGAGCCTATCAGATGGGCTGGACCCCCAACATGTCGGCTGCCTCCTCCTAACCCTCCTGGCCCGGCTCAGGTCCGCTCAGATCCCCGGCAGGGCGGACAGGAATTGCAGATGGGGGTGGTGATCTCTCGGAAAGGTTTTAACTGTCACATGTCTGTGCGTGTACCCGAGTGTGTGTATTTGTGTCCTGTTTGCATCCTGCATAGCATAAGCGCAGTTGCTGTTTATTCCCAGGAGAGCTGTTTTTTTTCCCTTAAAAGTTAAAGATTTTAAAAGCCACAAACCTTTTTGTTTTTAAGTTCAAAGATTTCTCTTTTTTTAAAGCGTTTTTACTGTGGAATAAAAAAAAAAAAAAAAAAAAACTGAATCAATTATTTCGAGCTCTTAATTCCTGCCACTTGGCGATGCCCTAAAGTGAAGCGAGCTGGGATGTTCTGGGGTGAGCTAGCCCTGTGCCCTTCTGCCGACAGCCAGGACGGAAGTGACGTCCCCCGTAGAGGCTGGCAGCCAGGCTCTCCCCCTCCCAGATGCACACGACACCAGGCAGTTTCTTTCTAGGCCATTTCTGACCCAGAGGCCTTCCTCCAGGCCACGGAGAGAGCATGTTGTCCACCGCGCTCTGCCCGACCCAGGCTTCCCACCGGCGGGCCACTTGCTATCTGCAAGGTGACAGGGACTAGAGGGGAGAAAGCCTTCTGTGAAATTTCCCGTGGAGGCAACAGTCCCCTGGCCAGCTCACAGAAGTTAATTACCCATTATTCTGCAGATATGTTCTGTTGAGTGCTAAATCTTTCTATTGAGTTTTATGTTAACATTGTGTTAGCTTTTTCTTCATGGATCGTAACGAGTCTGAATATATTTTAATGAAATTTGGAGCTGATCTTAGCATTATCCACTTGAAAGCCACCAATGTAATTAATGGAGTGAAGTTATTTTTTAAAAATCTACAGATCATTTAATTATTTTTGTTAATTTGGATAATTATGAAATTATATTTCTGAGATTTGGGGGTAGTCACGTTAATAGAATATTAATGAGATATAAATAGACAATCTTTTTTTTTTTTTTTTTTGCTTTGCTTTGGGCTTTAGAATAGGTTTTTTTTGGTTATATGCATGTTATTTTTTGAATAGTTCTTATGCTACTGCAAAGATCTATTACTGGTTAATGTATGAGTTAAGAAAAATTATAAAATCTTTTCATTAAGATTCTGTTTACACTTGTCAGAAATAAGCATTTCTTTGTTTAAAGATTGACACCTTTCAGTTAAGAAAATATCTATGTAAATGAATATATGTTTTGATTTCACACATCTTTACAATTAATTCTTAGTAGGGACTCAGGCTCAAATAACCTTTCCTGTGTCTAGATTTATAATCAAGACATCAGGGAGCCTTTTTACGCTAAAGAGTGATTATCTTTCCCAGTAGAGCTAGATACAAAACCCTGACTTGTGAGTTTGCTATTTATTCTTCCCCAGTGTGGACATAGCTATTTTTTTGGTCTTTAACAGGTATACTAAGGTTTGAGTTTCACTTTCTATAAGTCCCAATATTGCTAAAACGAGACTAGCTGTAGGAAACAAAAACTAGCTTTACATTCAAATGCCATTCACTTATTAATAATGACTCCCAAAAAATGTAAACAACTGTTTCTTCTGATTATGTCAACATGTTTCTGATGTGGCAGTATTTTTGCTTTTAATCCAAATCAGTTAAAAAAAACTAGTCAGTACTCACCAAGAGTATTTTATCCGTCACTAAATGGATTACTAATTTAATTTGAAGGAAATAAAGTTTGTATAAGAAAAAAAAAGCTGTTTACTATTAATAAACTATAATTCTTCTTACACATCAAACTGTATTGTTTTCATATTCATTTCCCCTCCACTGAAAAATATCTTAAATCATAATATTTTAACTGGTTTTTAATCCAAAACTAATTTATAAGACAGTATGTATAGTAATAGTAGCTTGAGTGAATAAGCAAAAGTTTAATTTTTATATATGTCACACTATATTTTAAATAGTTAAAAAACAAAAAGACTAAAGAAGGGAGAGCCATCGATGATATAGATGGTGCCATTTCAGTTCAAAATTGTAGTATCTTTGGAGTGTTACAGTTTGGTTGTCAAATAGTCTCAGAAGTGTACACTTGATTTTTTTTTTTTTTTTTTTTAACATTGCATTGTTTGAATCTGAAATACAGCACTATAACATGCTTTAGCTTGGGTTGGGGGGTGGGGGGACTTGCACTTATTCTTTAAGATGTTGACTAATCCAGAAAGCCTGATGCAACATAACCTGGAAAACTGCTTTGGTATATTTGTAGAAATCTCTAGAAGTATCATATCCAGCCTCAAAGCATTAATCTCAAAAAAAGAAAAAGAAAAAACAACCAGAAAAAGCATTACCTTGAGTGATCCTGTGATGGTTGTTGAATGTGTTCTCATTACATGCTTTGAAATGAGGCTTAAAATGATTTTTCTGGGCAATATAGAGTTTCTTTTCATTTTCTTTCTTTTTTTTTTTTTTGCTTAGAATGTCATAAATGTATGTGAACACGTTTAATGCAGGGCTTTCTATCCTCTCCAAAATGTCAACAGTATTTTCAGAATAAAGACTATGAAATACATTATCGTAGTGGAAAATTCTGGTCTTTTGTCTTTGATGTCTTTTTGAGTGGATAAAGGAAATGTACCTGGTTTGTAGTTTCTATATTTCTGTGAATCTTTTGACCTTGCGATGGGTCACAATAAAAGAGAAACAAACACTGTGTTCTCTGTTTTATTTTAGAGACAATCAGTGGGCTCCCTGGTTCAGGTGTGAGGCATGAGCGGCCGGAGCCCTGTGTTTCACAGGACTTCACGGGGGTTTGACGAACTGAGGACTAAGACTGGGTTTAGGAGGTTCTCATTTAGCTTGTGATAACTGAGATAAGATTAAAACTCAAAGGTTTAAAGAAGTGGTTTATTTAAAACCCCATTTCCTAAAAAATCATTCATTTACTTAGCTATTTTTTTCCGTTTTTAAAAAAGTAATAAATACATTTATTGAGTAAAAAAGCATGTACCAGGCACTGGGCATTTAAAGATCCCACCACAAGTTGCTCAAAGCAAGGAGACAGTCTTGAAAACTAGCAACAGCGAAGGAGTACAACAGACACAATAATAGGCACAATTAAAGGGAGCGCAGGACAGAGTAGCAGCTTTGGGGGGAAAGAGGTTCACAGATGAGGAGCATTTTTTAAATTAAATTTATCGGATTGAGATTGGTTAATAACATTATATAAGTTTCAGATACACATTTCTATAATCCATCATTTGTATATTGCATTGTGTGCTCACTACTCAAAATCTAGTCTCTTTTCATCACCCTCTTCATCCACCCCTGACTCCCTGGTAACTACCATACTGTTATCTGTGTCTGTGAGTTTATTTGTTTCCTCTTCTCGTTTGTTGCTTTCTGTTTTATAGCCTACATATCATATGATTTTTGTCCTTTTCCATCTGACTTGTTTCACTTAGCATGATACTCTCAAGATCCAAATATGTTGTCACAAATGGCAACATTATGACATTTTTTATGGCTGAGTAGTATTCCACTGCATGTATGTACCACATCTTCTTTATCCAGTCATCTGCTAAAGGACACTTAGATTGTGGCCATGTTGTGGCTATTGTGAATGATGCTGCAGTGAATATAGTGGTACATACATCTTTACAAATAAGTGTTTTTGACTTTTGAGTGGTAGAAGAAAAAGGATTGCTAGGTCATATGATAGCTCTATTCTTAATTTATTGAGTAACTTCCATATTGTTTTCCATAGTGGCTTTACCAGTTTACGTTCCCACCAGCAATGAATGAGGATTCCCTTTTCTCCACATCCTCTCCAACACTTGCTATTTCTTGTCTTATTGATAATAACCATTCTAACAGGTGTGTAGTGGTACCTCACTGTGATTTTGATTTGCTTTCCTCTTATAGCTAGTGAAGTTGAGCATCTTTTCATGTCTATCTTCTTGGGAGAAGTGTCCTCTGGCCATTTTTTATTGGATTGTTTGATTTTTATTGTTCAGTGGAATGAGTTCTTTATATATTTTGGATATTAGCCCCTTATTGGAGGTATCATTTGCATGTATCTTCTCCCATTTGGCTGATTGCCTTTTGTTTTGTTGATGGTTTCTTTTGCTGTGCAGAAGCTTTTCAGTTTGATGTAGCTGCCTTACTTTATTTTTGCTTTTACTTCTCTTGCCTTTAAGGTTATGTTCACAAAAAAACCCTCTGAGACCAAGGTTTATAAACTTTGTACCTATGTTTTCTTCTACGTATTTTAGTGTTTCAGGTCTTATATAAAAGTCTTTGGTCTATTGTGAATTCATTTTTGTGTACAATGTCAGACAGCAATCTAGTTTCATTCTTTTGCATGTGGCTTTCCAATTTTTTCAGCACCATTTACTGAAGAGGCTTTTCTTTCTCCATTGTATGATTTTGGCTTGTTTGTCAAAAATTAGTTGCTCATGTATGTGTGAGTTAAGTTCTGGACTTTCAATTCTGTTCCATTGGTCTGTGTGTCTCTTTTTCTGCCAATACAATACTGTTTTGATTATTGTAACTTTGTAATATACTTTGAAGTCAGGGAGTGTGATACCTCTGGCTTTTTTCATTTTTCTCAGGATAGCTTTGGCTATTTAGGGCCTTTTGTGGTTCCATACAAATTTGTTCTATTTCTTTGAAAAATGTCCTTGGGATTCTGGTGGAGATTATATTAAATCTGTCTATTGCCTTAGGTGATATAGCCATTTTAACTATGTTAATTCCTCCAATCCATGAACATGGAATATCTTTTTTCTTCTTTGTGTCTTCAGTTTCTTTCACCAATATCTTATAGTTTTAGGGAATACGTTCTTCACTTCCTTTGTTAAGTTTATTCCCAGGTATTTTATCCTTTTTGGTGCAATTGGAAATGTAATTGTTCAATTTTTTTCTGATGTTTTATTGGTAATATATAAGAATGAAAAAAAATTTTGTACATTGATTTATTTCCTGCAACTTTAGTGTATTTGTTTATTGTTTCTAATAATCTTTTGATGGAGTCTTCAGGGTTTCTTATATAGAATCATGTTATCTGCAAACAATGACAGTTTTACTTTTATTCCCAATTTGATACCTTTTATTTCTTTCTCTTGATTAATTGCTCTGACTAGGACTTCCAGTACTGTGTTGAATAACAGTGGTGCAAGTGGACATCCTTGTCTTGATCTGGAGGAAAAGCTTTCAGTTTTTCACCATTGAGTCTGATCTTAGCTGAGGGTTTGTCATATACGGCCTTTGTTATTTTGAGGTACATTTCTCTATACCCATTTTATTGTGCTAATTGTAAATGGATGTTATATCTTGAAAAATGCTTTTTTCCCCTGAATCTATTGGTAGGATCATATGACTTTTATCTTTAATTTTGTTAATGTGGTGTATCATTTTATTGGTTTGTGTATATGGAACCATCTTTGCATCCCTGGAATAAACTCCACTTGATTGTGATGAATTATCTTTTTAATGTATTATTGTATTCGAGTTGCTCGTGTTTTTCTTAGATTTTTGCACCTATGTTCATCAGAGATATTAGCTTATAATTTCCTTTTTCTGTGTTGTCCTTGCCTGGTCTTGTGATAGGGTAACGTTGGCTTCGTAAAATGAGCCAGATAGTTTTCTGAGGAGGAGCTTTTAAGGATAGTTAAATGAGAAGCAGGTGTTTACCAAATTTACTGTGGGAAAGGAAGGGCAACCTTGAAAATGGAAAAATATGTACAAAGGCATGAGGGAACAAGACAGAAAGGTAAGCTCAGGGCTTTGAGGTAACTGAGTAAAGTAGGAGGAAAGGTATGTTCTGGAGGGGCGGAGCATGGAAAGAGGTTCTGGGGCTAATCATGAACTTTTCATGTCCTACTAAAGAAATTGGACTTGTAGGAAAAATCAGATCCGCTAGAAAAGTCTTGTCCTAAATTATTTCAATAGGTAAAATTTTAAATGCTAAACTTCTGTTTCTGGCAATATGGTGAGATAAAGATCCTGACAGATTTTTTGCTATGTAACATCAAACATTTTTTCATTAAAATATTTTTAAACCCTTTTCAACTGACCGGATGTGTCTGCAGGAAAGCAAAAGTAACCTCTTGTGGCCAGGATCAGAAATGGAACATCTATCTACATCAGGGGTTAACGAATTATGGTCCCTGGTCAAACATGGCCAGATGAATATTTTCATCAACAGAAGTTTAATTTGAACCCAACTACACACATTTATTTATGTGTTCCCTAGGGCTGCTGTTGTACTAGAACAGAGTTAAGGCATTTTGACAAAGGCCATATTGTACATAAAGTAAAAAATTGTACTTATCCAACCCTTTACTGACCCTTGGTCTAGAGGAGTAGTTCTCCAAGTGTGCTTCCCAGACCAATCATATCCGTATCGTCTGGGAGCTTGCCAGAACTACAAAGCCTTGAGCCCAGACTCGGATCTGCTAAGTCAGAAACTCGGGGAAAGGCTCAGCAGTCTGTGGTGTAGAAAATCCTCCAGGTGAGGCTGATGCATGCTAATCTTTTACCTTGGAGAGAGAAGCTTGGAAACTACCAGCACGTGGGAGACTATGTTGATCGCAGAGCCTAGAGAATGTGTAAAGAGCTATGGGGCAGTGAATCTTGGGGAGTTGAATCATAGTCTACCTCAGACAGTGCCAGGGTCCCTGAAAGACAATCCTCCTTTACAAACAGTGAACTAAAATAAAACAAGGCATAACAAAAACTGAAGAGGCAGACCATAAGGAAAATGACCATTTTCAGTCTTGGCTACGTGTGAATTTGTTTTATTAAGGTTGTGAAAGTTAATAGCCACTGGCTACTGTTCACATTGGTTTAGTACCCAAATCTACACTATTGGCACAGTTTGTGTTGCTCATAATTGTAGTTTTAAAATGATTCGTTTCTATCCAAAGCAGACAAAAATCATCTCTGGAGAAAGGTACGCTCAATATAGGCCGCAAAAGACACCTCACAGATAGAGCGCCAGGAAATACAAACTCCGTCTAAAATCACAGAGAACAACAGGAAATAAGCCAGCATTATTGCACGCCAACAGAAAAAACAAATGGTAGACCCACACCCTAAAAGGCTTCAACATTAGATTTTGTGATACATAATATAAAATTAATGTTTGGTACATTGAAAGATATCAAAAGTTATTTAAAACATCTATAAGAAAAAAGAAACTGCAAAAATAAACAGATACATTTTTAAAAGAAGTAAATGAATTTTTAAAAATGAAATAATGACTGATATGAAAGGTTTGAGTAGCAGAGAAGATTCCACTCCTAAAGGGAGAGTTTGTAAACTGAAAGGTAGGTCTGAGTAAAGCGAATTGAAGGAAAAACAGGCCTTTTCTTTGCATAGATAATTTTCATATGGAAGATAGAGGCTGAGATGCACGGGACGGAGTATGACACTTTCCAACATATCCAATCTTGCAGAAGGAAAAAAAAAAAATAAGGGAAAGGTGATGGTTAAAGAAATAATAGAGTTTCCATTTATTTGTGGAGAAGGAAAAAAAGATTTTGGAGAAGAATATCAAAGGCTGGGTTTTGGATGAGTTAATTTTGAGATGCTCATGAGACATCCAAGTGAGTATGTTGACTGTACAGTTGGATAGAGGAGTTCAGCTCAGAGGAGAGGTATATAAGCATCTGTAGGTGGCATTTAGAACCATGAGGCTTTCTGG